AAGCGACAATAACCCACCTTGTGTGTCCTCCACTTTCTCGGTTCCTCTTATACGCTCCTCGTACGCCTTCAATCTACCAACCGCTTCATCGAATAACATTGAATCCAACTCGAAACATTGCTCTATTGAAGCCACGATTTGAAGAAACGACTTAGGCATCGAATCTAATAACCTTTTTACCAAATCACCTTCTTCAAGCTCATATCCAAGACTCATTGCTTTTGAAGCTAAACCGGATAATTTTATCACAAAATCATCAACCGTTTCATCCTCCTTCATGCGTAAACTTTCAAGCTACCTTTTTAAGGTTGCAAGCTGAGCCGTTCTCACCCGATCCACTCCCAAATACCGTGTTTTTAGCCCATACCACACTTTCTTTGGTTTAGTGTAACTCGCCATTTGCAACACAATATCTTCTCTTCGGGTATCGCTTGAAACAAAAAAGCAAGAGCTTGTTTTGACTTTTTTTTGATTCGATGTTTCATCCACCTTTGGTTCGACCGTCTCCCATATGTCGTGTGCATCCATAATCGACTTGACTTTTACCGCCCACACTACATAATTCATTGGAGTCAAAACCGGAACTTGATACGTCATGGAACCTCCTTCTTTAACCAACGACATCCTTTTCTCCTTAACACCGACTTCTTTAATCAAGCTTGTTCCGAGAGCACTCTTCCACCGGACAACAAGACAAGGTCACGACCACCTTTACCGTCTTCCGTCACTCACAAAACGAACTGAATCAAAGTCACCCGATTTGACGTCTTCCCGTTCGTTTACTCCGCGCCTCCAGTTAGTCACTCACAAGCCCGATTAAAAGAAACCGGTGTTGCTTCTAATTAACCTCGAATCTCACCCCTTTCAACGAAATAGCGCTTTGATACCAAGTGTAAACAAGGGGCTGCCGTAAAACCTTAGTCTTGTTCACCAAGGTAACAACAAAAAGAAAACCACATAGAAAAAAGAACGAACACCTTTTATTAAGCAAACAAAAAAGGGATGGAATACTTACAACGAGAATTAACCTATTTATACTAAACAAAAAATAAACTCCTTATACTAATCCAATTAGAAATCTAAATGGACTCAAAAACATGCATCAATAAATAGATAAAAACTATTTTCCTATTTTGCCCTTGAAACTAAAACTTCTTGTTTGGATATACAAATCGATTAATCCAACAGTTCTAGTCATCTAGCGGAGAATAGATGATGACCACATACCTTTATAGACAGTCTAGTGTAACACTAGTAGGCTCGCAACATTTAGGTGTTAGTGAACTATATGTTCGTTGGTGTACTACATCCCCTCATGGTTGCCTTAAGGACATGTATGAATGAGGAATCCCCTTAGAAGTAGTGTCCATCCTGATGATGATCCTTAGGCTAGGTCCCTTATGATAGGTATTTAAGGATGTAAAGTGAGGATAACAGGAACATGTAATCAGGGTTATTGTTGGCTGATGAAATTAATAAATTTATTGTTGGTCGATGAAATTAATAAATTTATTATTATTTGTGGGTTGAAAACCATATATGCTCACCAGGCTCCAAAGTTCGACCCACTCAGCTTTTTATATTATAGGTACTGGACCCAGAGCATAAGTTGGATGATGACGAGGGGTTTTGGATTATAGGTCAGTAGTTGTAAATAACTGTTGTAAGGCTTATAATGTATAGTTATGCTTTTGGTCTGTATCGAAACATGACATCCCGAGGTTTTGATATATAATGAAAATATATATTTCTTTGAGAAATGTTTTGATAATTTTTTATCATGTTTTGTTTTGGGGACAAATTCTGCAACATCTTTTAAAAAGATTACTCTGATTTTATTTTAAAAGCATAAACTAAATCGGTATTTTCTGGCCGAGAAATTTGAGGATGTCACATCTAGTGATTATGTTTTTGTTCAAACTAGAATCTTTGAATTTGATTTGTGTTTGATTAACCAATTTCATTAATTGAATTTTTGTGCAGTTAATTAACTTTTAGGGCACCTAATCGTCTTGTAAAGTTAATAATTGGTAACAAACAATAAGTATTCTTATTGTAAAACATATATCACATGTTTTCACACTTCCGAGCGTATGGGAAGAAATGAGCATTGTTGGGAAGCTTGTACAAAACTTAATGCAGTTTTTCAATACAATCTAAGAGCATGTTTAGGTTGAATTAGTAAAGCTAGGTCTAATCAAAGAGCGTGTTTTGGTTAGATAAATTGGCAAGCGAGGGGTATTAGAGCGTGTTAATATTTTTCAGTACCAACTTAGAATAGTAATCACGAATTATATCTAGTCATAATCAGGTTAAATGACAACATTGATAACTAGAACTGGAAACACTTTTACAACTTGTTTACAAATCTATTTCATTTTCTGCATGTTTCAAAGTTGATTGTTATTTTCATTATTTGACTTTTGCAAACAAATCCTCCTTTGTAACCAAAGTACCTTGCTCAAAGAGGTATAGACTTTTATCCCATGTCTCTATGGTTCGATCCTGCTTGCCTTATACTACTTTTTAGTGCATTAAAGCAGTGTATTTGGAGTCTGGTGTACCCCTATTATTTTTTGGGGTTGACACGCCTAACAGGGCCCTTAAAACGTATAAGATCTGAAGTTTGAGTGAAAATTCTTCATGCATTAAGAAATTAATGGAGATGGATGCAATATAGTTGTACGTTAGGCGTATTATGGTGTACGTTGTACGTAGAGCTCCTGGACCGAGTATGTTAAGTGTACTGAAGAGGTACGTTGGGCGTACGCTCTCTGAGGACTTTGGGCTTCCGTGGAGCTACAGACCTTTAGGCCCTAATGGTTTGGGCCTGGACTAGCCAAATTGTGGAACTGAATTTATTATTTGGGCTATAATTGGCATATTGGGCCTTTTAGGCCTTATGTCCCAACATAGAATTGGATTTTTATGTTAGGCCCATTAAAGGAGGAAAGGCCTTTGGGCCATAATAAAGGGACTTGGACTTAGGATTTTGGGCCCATGTCTAGTTGTGTTGTAATCCTAATTAGGGTTATTTGTATATTGTTCAATGTGAGATTCTGGGCTGGTAGTCAAGCAGCTATTGTGATCAACAGACTGAGGTGAGTCTTCTCACTATACTAATGGGTCGAAGGTACCAATGTCGGCCCATTACTTGATATGAGATTTCATTAGTTATATATATGATGACTTGTTATATGGCATGTTATGACTTATGTGAAGACCATGGGGGAGCCCATGTCACTTGGTAAAGACCATGGGGGTGCCCATGGCCCACAGGTGTAAGACCATAGGAGTAGCCCATGATATTTCAGATGAAGACCATGGAGGGAATCCATGGCAATCCTATATGTATGATGCATGGTATATATGGTTATATGTTTGTGTATTTTGGGAAAACTCACTAAGTGTTTGCTTACAGTTTGTTGGATGTTTCAGATACTTCGGGATCTATGAGCAAGGGGCCGACTTGATGGTGTAGTAGGCACTCTCCAGTATTCCGCATTTTTTGTTTTAGATACCTTGATCTTACGGACAAAAGTTTATGTAATGAGATTTTGGGAAAACAAATATGATTGTGATTTTTTAATATTAAATGAAAAATTTTATCTAAAATTTTTGGTAGTTACAAAATTACATTAAATAAAAACTACATTAATTAAAATAAAAAATAACATTAAAAATAAAAATAACTTAAAAATGAAAATTACATTAATTAAAAAATAAATAAAAGATAACATTAAAAATAAAAACCCTAAAAATACCAAGCATAATTGAAATAAACTACTCCATATTCCTACATCGGGCTTGAACCGACTCTTTCATCGCAAGAAAAAGCTTCAAATCTCCGCTGTCAAGATCATCCGCTTTCGTTTTCAAAATTTCCATATTGGTTTTTGTTTGAAGCGTCGCTTTTGCCTCTTGGATTGACGTTTGCGCTTCAATCATTTTTTGTTCCACCCGACTCGTAATCTCGGCCTTGTTCTCTTGAACTTACACATCTCGCTCAAATTTCTCTCCAAAATGATCCATAACACTAGATCTTGTAGATGTCGAACCTGATTTATTTTGCTTTATTTCTTCCAACGCACCGACGAAGAGGTTGCTCGTTTTCAAGATCAAGCGGATAATGTTGATGTCGATGTGTGTTCGTCCGTCGGATTATTAGGAAGTTGCATCCAGGTTTCTTGAACGCTTGGAATCGGAAGAGGTTTGTGAAGTTCCTTCCGTTTGTTGTATCCATTTTAGAGGTTCTTTCAATTTTAGCCATGCTTTCACATACGGAAAGCTTTGCGGGTTGGTGTTGTTTTTTTCAAATTGGTCCAAGGTTGCATTGAAGACATCAAAATCATTTGAATCGCTTTTGCGTATATTTTGGAGGTTGTTGTAAATTCCTCTAAATTCCGTTCATTTTAATCGAATATCACGCCACTTGGAGCTAATTTGATCGAGATTCCAAGATTCACTTCCTATTAATGCATAATTAAAAATCGCTTCGAACTTTCTCCCAAAAACAAAACTGAAGGTTTGATTATCTCCTTTAATTAGGTCTTGGGAAGCCAAAACACACGCCTCCGCTAGCTTTTCTGCTTCCTCTTTTGTCCATGGCATCCTTTCTTGGGTATTAGTGGGTCGTGCCGGTTATTTCCCTTTTCTTTTTTGGTTGAGGTGGTGGTGAAGGTTGCGTTTCCGAAATGAAATCCGGCAAATGAGATGGTTGTGAAAGTGGATGTTGTGATTGCGAAGGTGGTGGTTGTGACGATTGTGGATTGAATTGTTGTTGGAATTGTTATTGAAAGGTTGGAAAATATTTGTATTATTGTTGGAAAAATGATGTTTATTGGATTGGAAAATCGGTTTGAAGCAAATTGACAAAACCACCTAGAGGTGATTCCATGGTCGGAAATTGACGAGAGATGGTATCTAAAGGCAAAAACGTTATCGGATTTGCGATTTCTAAAATTTAGAGGGTATTTTTGTTGGGATCGATGGTTTTTTGGTTGTGAAATGTTATGTGTTTTTATGTATAGAGAAAGAAATGAATAGTGTAAGAAATATGGATGTATAATGTGGTTTTTATAGGTAAAATTTGTTAAATTTTATGTTTATTATTTATTTATTTATTTATTTATTTTGGAAAAGTTAGCCGTTCAATGGCTATAATATTCAGTTAAACAAAGAAAAGATTTTATTGGGGCATGCACAGTCGTTCTCCCCACTGAAACAAAAACAGCCAACCACGAACATACGGGTTGGTGTGCACAGCTGTTGTTCGTAGCCAGCTAGACCACAAGCACGCTCGTGCTAGGCATATCGGAAGGTCTCACAAACTTTGATTTCTAAATCCTTCACATTCAAACCCCAAATCAAGTGTTTTCTAACTATGTGTGCTTGAGTGATAAAAATAAAAAATGTAATTTAATCTTACATAATTTCATGAAATCGATGCACCATTTTAAACGATCAAATACAAGTCCTTCAAAACGAGCAAACGAAGTCCACTTTACGACATTCCATCATACAAGATTTGAATAACATTTAACTCAAAAAAAAAAAATCACAAGTAGACCAAACACGAACAAAAAAATCATACCAAAAATGACATTTTAAAATCCATTTAATAAGTCATAACATTAAGAAAACAAAAGCAAAACAAGCGTATATAGAACGAATATATGAAAGATAAGAAACTTAACATGGTGAGTTGATGACTCACCACATCCATTTCACATAAGTTCTTGCGATTTTCTCACACATCGACCAACTTTCTTCCTGAACTCGTCCCTTCTGTCTCTCCATTCTTTCTGAAAATTTTATTAAAAAAAAAAAACATCGCAAGTCAATACACTTTTTGAACCACACAATATGGTAGTGTTTGGTATGCAGTAATTGGAAAGGGGTGTATTTTCTTTTCACTTTTTGATATAATAGAATGATATATTATATTGGGCAAACTACATAAGAGACACTATAGTAGTATAGTTTGGCTATTTTGTGGTTTATCCACCATGAAATATGTTTATATGCAATTTATTTGGTGACATGTCAATTCTATTAAAATTTACTCTTATAAAATAAATTCTTTATTTGTCAATTTGCTTTCATTTTCTTTTTTTTTTTATTATGCATGATAAACAACATGCTTGAATGACTGTTTCAATTCCTTTAGCCAAACAAACATGATAATGAAATGTAATGATCCATTCCATTCCATTGTACTCTAATGAAGGTTAATAGGGAATATGTTTGTTACCGCAGCTTCCACGTTTGCAGGAGACTCGTCATTTGGACTTGAGAGCATTGATATAATGCTTAAAACTATGCTCTCTACCTGAAAATATCATATTTTAAATTCTTTAAATAAAAAAAAATCTTGAAAGTACATTGCTAAAATGGCAACAAACGAAAGTACATTGCTATTTCTAGCATACCGTATGGACAGGTGTCCAGCGTTCACTTGCAAGTTCATAGCCATTAGGATCATCACCAGGGGGATGAAGAATTGAAATACAAACCTTGCCATCAGGGTAAACTGTAAAACACAAAAAGGAAACGTTTTTTTATAAAGAAATTTCATAAATTATGAAACTTTTTTGTAAATGTGTTCTATACTAACCGTTTGGATGCCAAACCTCTGAGGTAAATCTTACTGTTGGAGGACTATTAGGGTAATTTTGTGGGAAGGTCATTATAGCATTGAAAAAACCTCCATCACTGAAAAAGATGAAGAAGAGTCAGTGACATATCGATCATATGATAATCTTGAAAGCTTCTATGGCTATCTCCTTAAAACCCTTAGAAAACCCCAACCAAAAAAACGGACATCAAGGAATACCAATAGTTGCATATCTAATTGACAGGTAAACCGACTAAAACCCTAAATTTTACCACAAATGGTTCGAGAAACCCCAATTAATCTGAATCCATAGGATAAAGTTGGAAATTGGAGACGGAATATTACTTAGATTCAATATTGGAACAGAAGAACAAAGAAAAACTCACTATAATGTATCAGGTGGCCCGATTATCGTGACACTCCATTCAAAAAGATTGCTTTCATCGACGAGACCCGCGGAGAATCCATCAACAGGGTTTTTACAGAGATCTAGAGAAACAAACCACGGATCATCATCGGAAGAAGGTACATGAAGATATAAATTAACGAAAATTGAATTTGAGATACTAAAATTGAACCTTTAAGCTGTTTCTGAAGAAGGAGACTTGCTTGAGATGGACAGGCCATGGATGATGAAGGAGGCCGATGGGAGAAAGGTCAAGCAAAGGGGGATTTTAGCGTAAGCCCTTGATTGATATATAACGCCGACCGCTTCTCAATAAAGTGTTTGGGTATCGCAAAAAAGTTGCCTTCTTGATGGCAACTATTTTCTCTCTATATTGTTATACATAATAATTAATGATAATAAAGTATTATTCAAAGAGTTATCACTAAAATAATGACCATTACATTTTTATTTTTGAAGTATTATGCAAAGAGCTATCAATGACCATGTATCACAAGACGAAAATACAAGACATGTGTGACTAATATATTTTTTCAAACACATTATCTTATAATAATAAACAGATTTTGAAATTATGTGACAATGTTGAATTAGAGAACGAACCCGTGACATAACAAATGAGAACACATTCTTTTACACCAGTAGACGAAACAAATCCAACTCCAAACAAATGCACTGTTTAAATAAATAACAAACAAAACATCTTCTGGAAAACATCAAAAATGACATATATTCAAATTATGATCTCATCAAATGAATTCATGCTTGAATTATATAAGGCACTTATAAGTTGCTTTTGAATTGATCATGAAAAGATCATATCATCTAGTTCAGTGTTGCTTAATCGTTCTTTTGACTACAAAATATGGATTAATGTTTGATGTTTCTTGTTGGCCTTCTTTTGCACCAAATTAGATTTCCTTTCCGTTCAAATATCATTTATAAGTTGCATGTTTACCTTTTCTATGTAGAGTGGGTGATTTATTAGTTGCATGTTTAACTTTTCTATGTAGAATGGGTGAGGAGGTGCACGAACAATCATGATTAACTTGGGAACGATATACTCATATGTTATATAGAAACATGATTAAAACAATATCATAATGAATGACCACGAATTTGAAGGACTCCAAGAATCACATTGCAAATATTATACAGGTACCTAATATATAGAATCTTCAAACCCTTAAGTAGACCTAAATATGTTGACTAAACGATGTATTGGGAACAATGTACAACATTATTACTTGCAAGGGAAAATGTGACTCAAGAATCCTTAGCAAGCTTAATAGATTTAAGCCCATTCGTGCACCTCTAAACACGTAACACACATTGCAACATCAACTTTCATTGTCGGCGACCAATAATATGGTTTGAAGTCCATATACATATATATATATACATCTTGGTGCTCCCTTGGTGAATAATATATAAGGAACGATGTGACCCTTCCATCAAAAGAATTTATATTTCTTTGAACTTCGATGCATATATAAGACTTTAAAAAGCTTCAACCCTCGTCTATCATCCTTGAAGACTATATATTTATTCAAATCCTTTTCCTTCACATTCTCATATGCTAAAAATATGGGAAAATGACGTATATGCCCTATTATATTTCTAGGATTTACCCTTTTAGTCACTTAAGTTTTTTCGTGGCTTAAGAAGGGAACTAAGTTGTGAGTAACCTTTCATTTTAGTCTTTTTACTTGTTTTAACCGGTTTGGATAATAAATAGACCAAACTTGGGCCCCACTCATCTCTCTCTCTCTCTCTCTCTCTCTCTCCAACCGCTTTTTGACCTATCAAAGTCAAATGATCCTCACTAGATATTTTTCATCGTCTCCAATGGCAAGCTAATAAAAAAGTATCAACTCAAAATCAGATCTCCACATACAAAATCAAAAACCCTGAAATTGTAAAGAGAAAAAATGGAAAAGCACACACATTGTCGACCTTTCTTTTGCCACGCGCATCATGAACTTACTGTAACCTTCATCGCCATCTCCACAATTGCCTCTACCGACGACAACAACTCATCTCAGAAATCAGTCGTTGGTATGGCGGTTCATAAATCAGGAGATTTAGCCATATAGAGCGATGATCGGATCAATAGGGTTGGTGAGAGTTTTGGGAAATCAACTAACGGATTAAAGGGAAACGATGGAAAAAGAGATGAAATCGAAGTTAGGTCTCGTAAAAAAAAGAAAGGGCGTAAAAGGGGAGACATATTAGGGAAAGTCTTAAAGAGGGGCAAGAATGCGACTCTAGTTTGTTAAATCCGATGATAATGTTGATGATCATGTGGGGCTAAATGAACCCTCTCCTCTGAATCATTGTGAATTTAGAACTGAAGTGACTTCTAGAAGTGGAAAGGTTGAGAAGAAACTGCAAAGCGGGAGATCTTCAAAAAGAGGCAAGAACACGAATCTAAATAGGCTCATTTGAAAATGGATTTGCTGTCTCAAGCAAGGTTTTTTTTTTTTTTTTTTTTTTTTTTTTTTTTTTTGGGGGGGGGGGGGGGAGCTTGGATAATAAAAGCACAAGAACAAATGATTCACAGCATAATAGTGATGATGATGATATGCTTTCATTATTGGGGGTAATGTTAAATCAAGCAAGAGCCACAGGAGGAGTGATAGTTCTAGGAAGACGATTCATGAAGATAAGTTCGTGACTTCACATGGTTGTCTCCTTGATGAAAGTGATGACCATAAACATATTACATTAGATGATGATATTACATGTTTGGATGACACTGATCATAGCTCACGTGTTGGAAGCAATGAGGTAAAGTTAATCCTGATGGAATTGGATTCCATTCAAGCAGATGAGAATGAAGGTGATGATACACAAGAGCTAAAGTCATTTGAAGAAGACGACAGTGATTAGCGGGACTTGGACCCACCTGAGAATGCTAATGTTGTTGGTGGTAAGGATATTGAAGTTTTCCATTTAAGAGAGAGAGAGAGAAAGAGAGGAGGGGATGTTGTGGGCCCCTTTTATTATTTTTAAATATTAAAATACTAGGTGTATGACTCGTGTACTACACGGGTTTATTAAAAATAAAAATTTAATATCAATATTTAAACATTAAATTTAATATCAATATCAATTTTAGAGCTCTCATTAATTATGTCATTTATTACATTATAAATATATCATTTCTTTTTCAAGGAAGCATTTATTTCTCTCAATTGTAACCGAAATAAGTTATGATATGTGAACAAATCAGAAAATTCCATGTGGAAATAAATAAATTCTAAAAATCTATTAAAATGCCATGTGTCCAAATTAGTGAGGACATGACATGTGGCAGAAAATGAGTTTTATTTATTAGTATAGATAAAAGTAAGTGAATTGTCGTAAGGGGACTAAAAATGACCGGCTGACCCCTTCACAATTGAAATAAGGACTTAATCGACCCGACAAAGTGTAATTTGTTCCCTTATAAAGCCACAAAATAAGTTAAATAGCTAAATGGGTAAACCCTAGAAACATAATAGGGCCTATATGTCATTTTCCCTTGTTTGAGCTTCTCTGAGTCTTATTATGACTACTAAAATCACTTCAATTCACATTTATATTACCTTTTTCACTTCGGGTTCACCATTCACTCAAAGCATCCACTACCATGTTTCCTTTACAAGGATGGTGAAATATCTCATAATTAAATTCCTCTTCATGACTCTAATCATTTTTTATTGTCTCGTGTTCAAATCCTTCTGACCAAATATCCAAAGATACCTAACAAACTCTTGTGATTTATGAACAATTCACATTTGGCATTTGTAAAAGATAATATTGCAAAATCTAAAGTGTGAATATTATTGTTGTGAATTACAAGCCATGACACAGATGGTTTAACGTGTGAACTTTCAATTGTCGTGACATATAGGTTATTACCCTCTTTTTGTGAGTAACGACATGACGTAATCATACTCCATAAGCATCACTAAAAACTTAAAATTCATTTGTCCCTCGATGAACGATGTTTTGACAAACACTTCATAAACGTCTCAAATGTCACAATCTACTTCATGGTGCATGTATACTCGAAAACTTTCCAAGCCAATTTTGTTAATGTAGATGCCAGCAAAAAGGCGTCTTTGATAAATCTCATATAGTAATGAGTTTACCCAAAAAATACTTCTCACTTATGCAGGACTATTTGTATTTCCTACTCTATTATCACATTACCCTTAGTTGGTTCACATTAATACTATCTTAATTAACCACATAAATAAAGAATTATATTTATCATATCCATAAATCACATTTGGAGAACTTTTGTGACATCCCAAATTCACGACCATTAAAAAAATTATGCTTATTTTAAAGTAAGAGTATCAATTTTAAAGAATAATATTGCAGAATTTGTTCCGAGAAAACATGATAAAGATATTATCAAAGCATTTCCGAATAAATGTATTTTGTTTATATTAAAACAATGGGATGTCATCATCAATACATAAACATAAGCATAAATAGACCTTACATTCATTTATACTAATGATTCACATCTCCTTTAAGCTCTCAGTGTAATGTATCTTCGTATCGACACATGTGATACAAATAAACTGAGTGGGTCAGGTTGGGAAACCTGGTGAGTACATAGGGTTTTCAACCCACAATAATATAGTTAATTTGTTTCTTCACATAATTCATGTCAAACAATTAACCCGGTTACCCATCCCCATTTTCTTCATTTAATCTTCCCTAAAGATTTATCCTAAGGTTCATCTCCTACATCATATTTACCTATCATCTCCTTACATCGCATTTCCTTATATAATTGTTCCTAAGGATTTTTCCTAAGGATCATCTCCTACATCGCATAGACAGTACCGATTCGGGGATTACTCCCCCAATACGTGTCCAGTAAGGGTTAGGGTATCATCACATGAATACGTAGTTACAACATCGCATGAACTCGTAATTCAAAGTAAGGTTTAGAGTATCATCGTATGAATATGTAGTTACAACATCGCATGAACTTGTAATTCATCACCTACAGGTTATGAGCCTGTTGGTGTTTCACATAACTGACTAGAATAGTCTGTGGTCGTCATCTATACTCTGGTAGATGACCACATCGTCGGTCAAAGTTATGACATCTCCTCTCATCTCACATTACCTATCTATCATCACCTTTCTATCATCACATATCTCTCATCACCCGTCGCTACCCAATATATATTTATAAGTATAAAAAAATACATATATAGGTTAAATCACATAAACATGTATACATCGTTCATCTAGCATAGATACCAAGAACACAGATAATATGCACACATAGCACGTAATTTACATTACATATTTCATATATATGTGTAAGATGAAAGTAACTATGCACTCACTTGTTAAAATGATGATTCCAAACTCGGGCAGCGCTTCACTTCTAACAATTCTATTTTCCTTCGACGAAATCTAGTATCATTACCGCTGGATTTATT